GAACCGACTCCAGGATACATAACAACAACAACATTACTGAGTCAGAATTTGGATTTAATCCATAAACATATGCCTAAGGACCATTCTGGGATTTGGGTTGCTTTTGTGTGTATGGAAATTTATTTGATTTGATTTTACATTCACCAAAACCAAAACTCTTCTATACAAAACTGGCATTCACAATCATGGTAAATTTGTATTGTCTCAGAGATGCTATCATTCTGAGCAACTGAAGAAATAGATCTCCTCAAGTAAAATTGAAAAAGATCATAAGCCATAAGCTTTCAAATAAAATACATGATCCAGTAATTAATTGGACAGCTTGAAACATCATATCAAAATCCATATCAAGATAGTCATATAATTGAAACTGTTAATTTGCAAAATTCCTTGAGTGGGAAATCTTACCTCTACTAAAAACCTCACTAGCCATATAAGAAAACTGGACAAATATTATGTTTAACTAAGCCAAACAAGGTTGAACTAAATGGACTTTTGATCCTTTTAGAGAGCCATTCCTTTAAAGAAAGTTGAAATCTCTGTGTTTTATTAAAAGGTCATGATTCGTAAAATGTTTTAGACCTTGCTAGTACGAATCTAATAAGACGATTATAAATGTTGCAGTTTAGGACTTGCTGCATAAATACCTAAATGGGTTTTGATTTTGGTTTTATCCCAACCCATTCCTTACATGTTAGGTTCAATCTTCTCAGTATTTGGTTCAGCTGAAATAGGAAAAGTAACTTTGTAGTAATCTGAATGTTAATCCAATTGTATATTGTTTCGTTTATTGCAAATACTGATGAACAGCAGTCAATAAAGTTTTATATTCCTTTAAAAAAAAACCTATTAGTGTTTATTATATGCTAGAGATCTCTAAGTGATTGATATTGATTCAATTGTCAAAACAATCTACAAGGTATGTGCTCTTAATAACCTCACTTTACAAATGGGGAAACTGAACATCCAAAGAGTTTTTACTGGGACTGTGGCCACACAGCTGTGAGTGGTGGAGAGCCCAATTTCTTAGCCTGCTTACCACGGGGCCTTCCTTTTGACTTTTCAAGATGTCTAGGGAAATAATGAGTTTTATTTCTTAACATTGATTTTAATCTGCTGTACTTTGTTTCTACTTATTTATTTGTATCTACATTATTAAGAGCCTAACCATGTGAGTCCCAATCTCAGTACATTTAGCTTTTAAATTTTTTTGCCCACAGTGGGCATCCAAAATGTGAAACTCAGCTTGTCCCTCTGCTGAATCATCTCCCTAGATATGAGTCTCATTTTGTGTGTTAGATTGTCAAAACAATGATGTAAGAGAGCAGCCTATCAGAGCCACCTAGATGTTCCCTAGAATAAATGAAAGGAAAGTAATAGATCCTAAACTAAACTCCAATAAAAAAATGGAAAGAAATCAGTTTGAATGGTAAATGTACCAAACAATGAGGCAAACCCATGTAGTAGTGTGGAGTTAGTTGCATAAAAGATAAAGAAAACTGTAAGTCTTTGGTAAACAGCAAACTGGTAATTTATTTTCACTTCAACACTAAAAGTCTCAGAGTTTCTAAAATCTTTGGTATTTAATAAAGAAAAGGGCCCTAAAGTAGTTTGATGCCAGGCATTCTCTGACCAAGTCTGAT